CCCCCGCCCTCCCAGCGCCCCCCGTTTTACCAGCGCCCCCCACGCCGGCGTACCAGTGCCTCCTGCAGCCCTGTCATGGTCCCCACAACTTCTAGGGACCCTCAGGCTTAAGGCTTCGAATCCTGTCAGTGCTCCTCGTACCTCTCAGTGCCTCGCAGGACCCCTTTTAACCCTTTCAGGAGACCCCCAACCCTTATGGGTTCCCGGCCTTGTCAGCTCCTGGCCTGCCCGGGGTCCCCGGTCTTGTCAGGCTCGCCAGCCTTGCCATGGTTCTCAATCCCGTCAAGTGTCCGGGGCCTGCACCCCCTCCCCCCATCCCTGTCGGTCCCCCTCCCAGTTATTCCAGGGGTCACCTCTTCTCTCTGGGTCCCCAATCTCATCAGTGACTCATTATTTTGCAAGGGTCCCTAAGTTACTCAGGACCCCTTTTCCTGTTAAAGCTCCCAATCCTGCTAAGGTCCTCCATTCCTGTTAGGGCCCCCCCCATAGTATGGTCCCCCAATTGTCAGGGCCCCTATTTCCCTCCTGTTCTCCACCGTCCCCAGGCTCCAGGCGTCAGAGCTGAGCACTGCACCTTTATTACTGTCCCTAAGTGACCGGGACCTGTTGTTCAGGTCCACTTCCTGCCTCTGGAACTGGAGCAGGTCTGAAGATACTTCTTATCCCAGGCTGGGAGCCGTCGGTGGCTCTCCTGTCCGTTGTCCCCATTCTGTGGGTGGGAAACGTGTCTTGAGACGGCCTTGCCTGGGGCCCTGCAGCTGACCTGATAGCAGAGCTGGGGGGCGAGACCAGGTCATTTCACTCCCAGGGTCCATATTCTCACGTCATTTTGCAGAGGAAAAGCATTTCCAGAGTCACTGCTTGCCCCTGGGTCTTTTGTCCGCGCCCCGCTAAGGATGTGGGCGAGGCCTCTTTCCCACCCCTCCAGCACTGTTGTCCTTCGGTTTCCCTCATGAGCTTCGTGGTTTTTAAGCACAGGCCTGGCATCCCGACAGGCCGAAGTTCAGATCCACACCCCCTTACCCACTTTGACCAAGTTGGCTGCGTCTCTGAGTTTCCTCATCTCTAAAAATGGAGATGATAGTGGAACCTCGCTCCGTGGGATTGTTTCCAGGACGAGCTGAGATGATCGCGGTGCCCGACACAGAGTATGCGCTTGGAAATGTTAGTGTTTGAATAGGGGATTTTACAGCTTATGTATAAGTGCTTTACCATTTTAATGATGGTCCTTTTTAGTCTTTCCAGGCACTTCTGTGAATGCACCTATTGTGTAAAGTCAGCACGGTGATGCATTGAGAAACTTTAAGGATAATTTTCATAGATGAACTGAGATTATAATAATCATAGCAGCTGACGTTTACTAAGCTCTTACATATATATAGATAGATTATCTAATACATTTATGGTTTGCTTTATTTAGTGGAAATGCATAACTTTGTATAAAAACAGTGTTTTAAATTACTGGTGAAATTTCTCAGTGTGTAGTAAAAGAATAACTTCATTGTTCAAGACAAGCCTAAAATTAAGACTCTTTAACCTAATAAATACATAGAAGATCTTATATGCTATCGTATGCCTCCTCTCCATTAGTACTCTAAAAGATACATCCATTTCTATGTTTTCTCCGATAGCAACCATTCAGTGAATATTATTGAGAGCCTACTATGTGCCAAGTATGATCTAGACACTTGGGATGTGTTAAAGAGTAAATAGACAAAGATCCCTGCCTTCAGGGACTTTGCATTTCATTTGAGGGAGATAGACAATAAACATAGTGCATAAGTGAATTTTATATTAGAAGGTGGAAAAGAAACTGGGTAAAAGGGACCAGGAGTGCAAGTTCTAATAGTTTGTTAGAAGTGAAGGGGAAGTGAGGGAGTGAGCCAGGCAGTGACCTGGAGGAAGAGCATGCCAGGCAGAGGGAACAGCAGTGCAAAGGCCCCGAGATGCGAGTGTGACAGACGGCGAGTGTGGCAGTGGAGTGAGAGGCCGGGGAGGAAGAAAACCCTGGCTTCTCAACTCAGTGAGATTGGACTTTTGAAAGGTTATGCTCTGACTTAGGTTTGAAATCCTAATGTCGAACTGTGCTGATGTTCAAGACATCAAATCCTATGCTGTATATGACCTGAACTCAAAAGTTAGGTATGTGGCGGGCCTGTGGATTATTTTGATGAAATGTAATTTCTTCATATATGTGTATATACACATAATGTGTTTGTGATGAGCGAAGACAGTAAACTGATTTTCTCTTTTAGATATAAGGTCATGAAGAACTGGGGTGTTATAGGCGGACTCGCTGCTGCGCTTGCAGCAGGAATATATGTTATTTGGGGTCCCATCACAGAAAGAAAGAAGCGCAGAAAAGGTAAGAGCATGGCCCTGGCATCATGGTCTGTGGACTTGGCCCAAACCCTTATTACCCAAAAACTGTACAAAAAGAGGAGGGCATTCTTGGTTCTCTTGTATCTTCAGTTTTTGAACGGTACTCTTTTTTTTAAAAAAATACATTTTTATTGATTTCAGAGAGAGGAAGGGAGAGAGAGAAACATCAATGATGAGAGAGTCATTGATCGGCTGCCTCCTGCACGCCCCACACTGGGGATTGAGCCCGCAACCCGGGCATGTGCCCTGACCTGGAATCGAACCATGATCTCCAGGATCACGGGTCGGTTCTCAACCACTGGGCCACACCAGCCGGGCTGAACAGTACTTTCTTTTAAACAGAAATTAATTTTAATGACTGGTTATTTTATACCCTGTAGTAAAAAGATTTATATTTCATCTCTCAAGTCCTGAGTTTGAGACATGCTTTGTAATGAAAAAATTTAAGTAGCTTAATTGCCTAGTGTTCTCATTAATATGGCAGTTATGTTTTCTAGTAGTACAACTGACTAATGATACGCGTTGTGGCTTCACTGACTAGCTGGTAGTTACTAGTAAATGTTTCCAGTTAGTTTCTCCATTAACACAAAACTTTCCTTAGTTTTTAAAATATGCCCTTTTGTAAATGTTGCTCCACTTACACTGATTAAAAGTCAGCCTTGAGGGGAGGGAGGGATAGTTGTAGCAAAATGTTGGTCATTGTAAAATCTGAGGATGGTTATAACTGGAGTTGATTATATATTCTCTCTTTTTTTGTGCATGTTTGAGAACTTTCATAATAAAAAGTTTTTTTAAAACATCCGCAGAAGAGGGAAGTATGTCAGATTTTGTTGCTCTCTCTGCAGAAAGACTGGTCAGAATTGCTATAGTGTCTCTCCCACTGATTATAAAAACAAAATCATTGTCGCCAGGGAGCAACAACAGAACGATTGTTTTCTTCTATGCTGAGAAACATTGCTTTCTTATCAAAGGAGAGAGAGGGGATGAGGGAGGGAAAGAGAGCGAGGGAGAGAGAGAGATGTTACCGTGTGTTTTTGTACAATGTGGGTAAACCAAACTGTACCAGACACTGTGGTGGGTTTCAAAAGTAACGCTCGACATGGACCTGTCCTTCTGTCGCTACAGTCTCCTGAAGGGGCAGTACTAGGACAGGGCCTCGGCATGGACGGAACGCTTGGCTCCGGATCTCTGGATAAGGGTTTTCTCACATTCAGATTTCAAGTTCAAGGTCACGATGCAGAAAGTCTGGGTCACAAATGGGAGAGAGTAAAAGTGTTGGTCCCATGTGACGTGCTGTTCTCTTTCNAGGATCACGGGTCGGTTCTCAACCACTGGGCCACACCAGCCGGGCTGAACAGTACTTTCTTTTAAACAGAAATTAATTTTAATGACTGGTTATTTTATACCCTGTAGTAAAAAGATTTATATTTCATCTCTCAAGTCCTGAGTTTGAGACATGCTTTGTAATGAAAAAATTTAAGTAGCTTAATTGCCTAGTGTTCTCATTAATATGGCAGTTATGTTTTCTAGTAGTACAACTGACTAATGATACGCGTTGTGGCTTCACTGACTAGCTGGTAGTTACTAGTAAATGTTTCCAGTTAGTTTCTCCATTAACACAAAACTTTCCTTAGTTTTTAAAATATGCCCTTTTGTAAATGTTGCTCCACTTACACTGATTAAAAGTCAGCCTTGAGGGGAGGGAGGGATAGTTGTAGCAAAATGTTGGTCATTGTAAAATCTGAGGATGGTTATAACTGGAGTTGATTATATATTCTCTCTTTTTTTGTGCATGTTTGAGAACTTTCATAATAAAAAGTTTTTTTAAAACATCCGCAGAAGAGGGAAGTATGTCAGATTTTGTTGCTCTCTCTGCAGAAAGACTGGTCAGAATTGCTATAGTGTCTCTCCCACTGATTATAAAAACAAAATCATTGTCGCCAGGGAGCAACAACAGAACGATTGTTTTCTTCTATGCTGAGAAACATTGCTTTCTTATCAAAGGAGAGAGAGGGGATGAGGGAGGGAAAGAGAGCGAGGGAGAGAGAGAGATGTTACCGTGTGTTTTTGTACAATGTGGGTAAACCAAACTGTACCAGACACTGTGGTGGGTTTCAAAAGTAACGCTCGACATGGACCTGTCCTTCTGTCGCTACAGTCTCCTGAAGGGGCAGTACTAGGACAGGGCCTCGGCATGGACGGAACGCTTGGCTCCGGATCTCTGGATAAGGGTTTTCTCACATTCAGATTTCAAGTTCAAGGTCACGATGCAGAAAGTCTGGGTCACAAATGGGAGAGAGTAAAAGTGTTGGTCCCATGTGACGTGCTGTTCTCTTTCCTGCCCCCCTTTTTCTAGGGCTTGTGCCTGGCCTTGTCAACTTGGGGAACACCTGCTTCATGAACTCCCTGCTGCAAGGCTTGTCTGCCTGCCCCGCTTTCATCAAGTGGCTAGAAGAGTTCACCACCCAGTACACCAGGGATCAGAAGGAGCCCCCCCCGCACCAGTATTTATCCTTAACACTGTTGCACCTCCTGAAAGGTATCTAGCTGGGAATTTAAGGGGGACTGTGTACATTTTCAAAGCAGCAGCCCAGATGACAGACAAAGGATTAATAGCCTCTGGGTAGAAAAAGACCATATAGATCATTATGGAAAAAACACAGTTTAGTCACAGATGATTATAAAATACTCTAGTTTCTAAAACATTTAAGTATGGTAGCCTAGGAAGGAAGGTAATTTGCCAGAGAAATAATCCAAATTCTATTTCAATAGATACAAAGTATATCTAACAGACACCCAAATATTCAATTTAACTGTCATCAAAGAAATATAAATAAAATAATAGTGAGCTACCATGGTTTTTTGCCTGTCGGCAAGGACTGAAAAACAAATCTATAGTCATGACCAGCTGGTCCGGGGTGGGGGGGTAACTTTCAGGAAAGCAGTTTGGAACTACGTAGTCATAGCTTTCCAGATGTTCCGTACCATTTGACTTCAGTGAAGCCAGGACGTCTACAGGTAAAGACTGGACAGAAAAAAATCAAAATGTTAGCCATGGCCATTTTGGTATTGTGTAGTTGAGAGTTTAAAAACATCTTTTTTAAAAAAAAACTATACTTTTAAAACTTTCAACAGTAAGCATATGTTATTCTCATAGTCAGGAAAAAATTGGATTGAAAAAACACTCAGCTAAATATCATTTCACTGAGGTATTTTCCCATGTAATGTCAGCTTGAGACAGAAATCTTTATGAAGCAAGTCCTGCTCCTCTGAATTTCTCTTACTGCCCTGTTAAAAAATACTGTTCCAAAGACTG